TTGCGAATCTTTGAAATTCTCCACCCAGTTCACGGTCCATCCGTACTATTTATTTATGGTGAAAAATACGTGTTCTGGTTACACCGTATCGCAATGCCAATGGATATTCAGCGCGAAAAGATCATTTGGACCAATCGTGGGGGAAGGTGCTCTATTTTTTTTATCTCCATGTCATTCCATTGAAAGTGGGTACTTTTGTTTATGAGCTAGTTTAACAAACGATCACGTTTAACCGACTTCATAGTAGCGTGTAGGTATATGTGTTATGCATATATTGTCCCATGTAAAAGGCCTATGTACATACAAGTTCGCGGACGACGAGGCAGTATCAGTTGCTGATAAGGCAGCGATATATGCATGAGAACAGCTATATGGCATTTGTGACATTTCGGTATGATAAAGTGTACGCGTATAATACGATACTGTACGTGGTATTTGATGGGACCAGAGATCCTTCAAAACATACGGGGTTTATCATACGTATCTGCATTATTCTACCTAATTATTTGTACGATATGTGGTTTGACAGGTTTACAAAAAAAAAAGCCTACATGAGGTGGTATCGATTTGATGCGTCAATCAAAGGACAAAGACATCACGGAACCGGAAATGCGTGACGTACTAGTCTCTCTCATGACTTCTCGTGAGATGTGGCGGTATTCTTGAGCGTGCAACTGAGTGCTACGGAAAGACCGGAAGAGGATGTTTTTGTCTCTTTGCTTTTAGCATCAATTCGAAACAAACGGCATTGAAGCAATATCGCAAATACGGAAAAACCGTACCAAAGCAATGCTTCTATTGGCGAATGCTTTAATCCAGGACAAAGGAGGAGGAAACTGACGTTTACATACTTGCTTTTGCTATTTCACTAAATGCTTCATTATTACTTGAAAAAAAGTATCGTTTGATGATAAAGCGTGGCCTGAACATCCCTTTACGAAGGAAAATACGTGGATCATGAAAAAGCAAAAAAAAACTTGTCATATCTACCTCCCGCTTCTCCAATTTACAGATAGCTGAAAAATCTAAGCTATCATATAAAGAGATGTTCAGCCCAAACCGCAACCGGGAGATAGCGCACCCATTTGATTCTCATGACAAGATCCCGTTCGGATGGTGTGTCCAGGCTGAATGAGTAGGTCTAAAAAACCCGAATCGAGTATCCACTTATGTAAGAACCCATTCATCTCTTACATTATCGAGAATAAAATTCGTGCAGCTTTTAGGTGAAATTATATTGGTCCAAATAGCCCAAAAGGGCGATAAGAAGAATGAATAAAAACCCGTGAACGAAATTCCCCGTAATGTCGGGCAAAGAAAGTGACGCATCTTTTACCAAGTAATTTGGCGTGACCCCGGGAGGCATTAGTCATCGAAAAATCCAAACATGAAGTAAAAGGATATCGGGCACCAGCAAATATTTTCGGTGACACGATAAATCTAGAGTACAGAGTTCACAGAGTTCCGCGTACATATACAGATACGTAGAGAAGCAATGATAATCCATATGATTGATGAACGATGTAAAAGTCAGTTGAGAAATGTATATCAGGACCAAACGAAGCTCCAATTCTTAATAGACATGCGTGTGTATTATATATCAGCGCGCGTGCACGTATTAACAGTAAGGCCCATTCGTTTCCTTCAAAATCGTATCTCGTTATGCCCCGATAAATCCGTGAGACGATCTCGAGGGGCCCTCGTTCACGCCCTGCATACGAAAAGTCGTGACAGTATCCGAAGATACATCAGGGCCTACCAAGAAGAAGAAGAAGAGGAAGAAGCTGAAGATGAAGGTGACTATAGATAGATGAAGAGAAGAGACAGATAGAGAGGGAGAGAGAGAGAGACAAAGAGAACGAAAGTAAGAGAAAGATAAGTTATAAAGGAAGGAACCTCGGGGATGGTAGCCAGGAACGGTCTTCGACTAGAAGAGCGAGAGGATGCTGCATTATAATATCGATCTATATTCACGGAACGAGGTGCGATCCATCACTCGTGCATAGCTCTACAGCCTGTAGCACCCACCCATCTATTCGTATTTCCCTGCTTTTATTGTTTTCTACGAGATTGCTTCCCCCACCCATGGGCCAGCACAATGCAATTCTTACGGCCCTTGCATTCTAACCTATATCTCTGATGTAAACTGTATTGAGGGTACAGGGTTCATGGCGGTATAAAAGTATTTTCCCGAGGGGTTCGTGGATTCGATGCATCCCCATGGAATGGAAACGTATACCTGATATTTGCATTCGCATTTTTCTACGACCTGCATGCCTACACTGAATGCATTGCATTCACTTGTCTCTCGTATGCTACATAATTTAAAAAATTGGGATACCTATTTTTTATTTATAGGCATAAATCAGTTCTTTAGAGAATTTAGTTGCATGTTAAACGCGACGAGTGTATAGCACGCGATTGTCAATATTGATGTATGAAAGTGACTAGATATCGCAAAATTATCATTAGTCGATACAGATATTTTCCCATTAAACCAATTTCATAAATAGCATAACGAGACTCAAGAGCGTTAGCTAATTCAGTGTAAATTACGTTATATTTTCGTAAGCAAAACCGTCCGCGTATCCGTACTATCCTGCTGCGTTCACAAATTTATTACCGGTCGAGGAATATATCAAATGCGTAGCCGGTACCAGCCACGGAGTTATATTATGTATCAGGGGACGTTTCGCATTAACATATAACCAAGCTTAACAAGGGTTGCTTCGCCAGCAAGGACTCGTAGGTGGACATTCGACGCTTCCACGCTCAGACTCTTCCTCCGCTCCTTATGTCCTACCCATGTCCTAGTTCTTTTTTCTCTATCCAACCTACATTGTCCTGAGACCCCGGCGCATTATTCACCTACAACCTACGAGTATCCCTACGCTGCTATGAGAGCAAGTAAAAAAACGGTAGAGGGGAAGGATGGGAGCCTTGCCTGAACTCGCAGTATAAGGTCCTCTAGCCGTGTCCTTGAAAGGAAGTAGGAAGGAGAACCATCCTGAATCTCTATATGTACATTTGTGGTGCAACGTTTAAGTGCATCCGGACCCGAGAGTCGCAGAGAGGCCGGCAATGAAATCATGAAGCCGTTCGCTATCGAACGTGCCCGCGTAATTGCTTTTACACTGAATCCTATTTACCGTGGATACAGTCGAGCTAGGATGGCTTGGTAACGTTGCGCCGAGGACTACAACTTGTATCGTTATAATTTAACTATATACAGACTGCAACTGGTTGCGCTTCTGAGCGTGGATGCACCGACGACATTTTTAACCCAGTATATTGCGAAATTCCCTGATCCTTATTTCTCTCCTTCTCTGACGTACTTTAAGGATTTTCGCACGGCACGGCGACCCTAAACGTTTATGTGGGTCTTTAGGGAAACTAGGAATGGCCGACGTTTCTTATGGTAATTGCGTGAGTCTCGTAATAGGGATAAGGTCACGAGGCCGGAGCCTTAAACGCTTGCAAATCCGACGTATTTTTTTGGCGCTTTGGCAAACTTTTTTTTTTCCAACGACGATTCACCGAAAGATGTGATGTTAATTTTCAGTAGGCACGTTGAAAATGTTATTTATCACGTAATTTTATTTTTTAAAATTATTCTTTATTTCTACTTCATGGAAAACGTCTTAAATATTCGTCACGGCTAGCAGTGCATGGTTTATAAAAATGACATGGTAATCCATCGAATGTATAAATTGAGAGCCATTTAAAGTTTTTTCCAAATTTCATTCAAGCTTTTAAACGTCGTCGTGTACTGTTCTTGTCTCGACCCTCAACTTCTTACTAACATTGGTACTCAGCGCAGCGACAAGTGAGTTACTAGAGGAAATGCAGAATGGGAATTTCAAACTGTGCAAAGTGTACACTCTCTGCGTTCGTCAAGCTATACTATAGGAGTTATACTACAAACGTACTTGTAGCTATACTACAAACGCCCGTCCCTCAACATTATTCCATACGCACTTCCACATTCTGTTTTCAGTGAATCACAAAACTCATACACGAAATGGCAGCGCGCGTTCCAACGTAAAAATAAATATCACCTATTCTACATAGTATATTCGCATTCGGCAAAAAAATTGTTTTGAAATGTCCAAACGATTTTACAAAGTCTTCAGTTTTCCGTATCAAGCAGATAAAATCGTTTCTGAAGTTGACTGGTAATATTCGAGATAGACACAAAGATGTTCCAGATGAGTAGGAAGCAAGACAGTCATCCTCGACCGGTCTGGATGCCCGGGGGCTGGTCTGGTTCTAAGATTACGATCATAACGAAAAACCTTCTCATTCTCATTGGCTATTGGTTCACCTTTCCTTCGTTCTTGTTCACTTGCATTCACTCGGCCAACCATTCTCGCTCTCTCACTCTTCCCATGTAAAAATTTACGAGTCCAGTACTGGCACAGTGCAGTTGCCAACGATAGCAACGTTGGCGGAGAATCGGCTCCCAAGATCGGTAGATCATTGCTTGAATGTACAAATGATAACAACGGACCAACCGTCGTCCACCACTGCTGGGAGATTACTCGGTTCACCCGATTTCCAAGAATTGTCTTTCGACGTCGGTCCAGTACCAAAGATTAACTTTCGCAAAATACTGGCTACTAGTTGAACTCGATGGATTCAACTCATTTAAATTTTATTTAATTACAGTTAAGATAAAAATTTTCTATACGGAATAATCAGCTGTCACTGTTACATTCTCATGGATCTATACGTGCAAAATTTACTGACTCTGATCCTGAACATCTACTTGGTCTCTATTCCATCGATGAATTGTCTTACGAGGAGATTATAAATAATAGAAGGAATGTCAAACAGAGAAGAGATTAATCACAAAAATGTTAGAAAGTTAGCACAGATGCACGCGTATATATTTTATCAGCAACAATAGCCAAGCTCATTCCGCGTGATTTGACACGAACTATCGATACGAAAATCTTAAATATACATATGCATATATAGTTTTATGTACGATGTTGACAAAAGCTACACGTCTCATAATCTTTTTTAACTCCAGTAGCATATAAGAGACTTTCGAGTAATTTGGTTCACACATATATTGTTCTCCTACTGGAAAAGACAGGTAACGAATACATTATATAATTAGAACTAACTCCATTATACATAATCGATTATTATTGATCAATAAAACGTTGCTTTAAACATATTTTTTAATTTATGATATTATTCAGAAAAACAGGTCCAATGAAAACTCTTGTTATGAAAATTCTTTTGATGACGACCCTGTTGTTAGGCGTCGTGTCTCCAGTTTTTCTTCTGGATAGCAGCGAAACGAGTATCGACAATGACACTACTATCGACTATAGATTGCCAAAAAATTCAGTGCCAATTTCATATACGATCAATTTGATACCGTATATCGTCGTTGATAATTTTATATTCGATGGAGAATCTACGACTGAACTTCAGGTTCTAAAAGCAAGTTCTTCGATAACTCTTCACATTCTAGCACTTACTAGAGACGAGAGTCCTTGGTGTCCAGTGCTAATGTAAACTACAAAATAGCCAATCGTACTTACGATAACATAAAACAATTTTTGATTTTGAATTTCGCGACCGATTTGCCGGCTGGAAATTATACACTGTATTTGAAGTACGTTAGTATCCTGGACGGTAAAATTTTCAATGGTTTCTATAGAAGTTCTTATACCAACGACTATGGTGAAACTGTGTACGTATATCATTACTTTATATTAATCTGTGTTATTCAATAGACTTATATTAATTTGTAGAGTACGTTTCCAGCTGGTTGGCTGCCACAAAATTTGAAGCAACCTCAGCACGTCAAGCTTTCCCCTGCTGGGATGAACCTGCGCTCAAAGCTACCTTTACTATTTCTATTGAGCACGATGCTAACTACACGGCGTTATCAAATATGCCAGTTGCCGGACAATCGGCTATCGACAAGAGTGATAACAAATTATGGACGACTTTCGAAATAAAACCCATCATGTCTACATACTTGGTGGCTTTTGTAGTTTCGGATTATGGATACGTCACTAACGACGACGCAACATTCAAAGTTTGGACTCGCAAAAATGGTCTTCGTGCTACGGCTTATGCATTGGCTCTAGGAGAGTCAGCATTAGCACGTTTAGAAGAATACACATCGATTTCATATACTCTTCCAAAAATGGATCAAATTTCTATCCCAGACTTGAGGACTGCTATGGAAAACTGGGGCTTGGTTACCTACAGGTAATATCATAAGCGATTGTTCGTTATATAATTTGCTCTTAAGTTTTATCATCAATACGGAGAAACATATTTCCTGTACGAAGACGGCGTAAATACGACATTAATGAAACAAAGTGTTGCTGGATTTATTTCTCATGAATTGTCTCATCAATGGTTTGGAAATCTAGTCAGGCCATCCTGGTGGAAACATATTTGGCTGAATGAAGGCTTCGCCACTTATTTCCAATATTACATCACGAACGAAGTAAAACTTAAAAAAATTGTCTAAATTCATCGTTTAATTAATCATATTTAATTGTTTTAGGCGGAAGACAATTGGCGCTTCATGGAACAATTTGTACTTCGCGCTGTACAAGATAGTGCCTTTATAATAGATTCTTCCGAAACCGCCCGTCAGATTTCCCTGCGGAAAATGGAATTCCGCAGACCGGGGCTTCCCTTAAAACGGTGGTGGACCCTTGGGTCAAGCAGTCGTGATATCCAGTGACCACTGTCACCAGGAATTATTCAACCGAAACAGCTAATATCAGTCAGGAACGATATTTTCAATCTGGTGCTAGTGATGATGGTACCAGATGGTGGGTACCTATCAGTTACACAACTCAACTTGCTCTAAATTTTTCATCAACATCACCTTCCGAGCGGATCCGTCAATAAGACGATAGTATAGTCTTAGACGGGTTTTACTCAAGTCATTGGGTCCTTTTTAATATACGAGTATCAGGTAAAACAACACTATGAACATACGCGAATAGACGTACTATGAAATAAAAAATTAACATATGTCGATAAACTATTCGAAATCAATCAACAGGCTACTATCGAGTCAACTATGATGAAAGAAATTGGAAATTATTAGCTACTTATTTGAACAGTGACGATTATATTAATATTCATCCCGTCAATCGTGCACAACTCATACGTGATTCTTATAACTTGGCTTTTGCCAATCGTACCAGCCTTTCTATATTTCTGAACATTTCGATTTACCTTCATCGTGAGATTGATTACATTCCCTGGTATTCGATGTTGACCGCTGATATTGATTTGAATCCAAGATTAGCAAACACCAGAAGCCACTCGTTATTCAAGCTACATACATGACTGTGATATAATTAAAGTTGAATAAGTCAGAATTTAATCTGTTATTATTTTATTTACAGACTTTTTTTGTGGAACGTCTTCAAAAATGTATCGCTACTCTCGGATATGACATGCACGATGACGATGAACATCTTACAAAGATTCACAGAGCAAATACCTTAAGATTTGCATGCAGCCACAGCAGCGAAGAATGCAGATCCAATGCAACTACAAAGCTGCTCGTTGCACATTTGGCAGATCAAATTGCAAACCCGTAAGTTATAACGCTTTCGGTATAAGAATTTAAATCCACAAAAATCTTGTAACAGATGATTAATTTTAGGGTATCGCCGGATTTGTGAAACTGGATATTCTGCGCTGGACTTAACAATGCAAATGCAACTGTTTGGAACGTGGTTTTAGACCTTTACGTCGAGAGCCCTTCTCTCACCATAATCAATTATCTTGGTTGATCCGAGGACAAAGAAATCTTGACAACATACATGACAATGGCAACAGCAGACAATTCAACGATACTCAAGGAGCATGCACCTGATGCGTATGCATCCGTTTACTCTGGCAGCCTTGAGAATATAAACTTCGCCTTGGACTACCTCATCGACAATTTCGACAAATTATATGAATCATAATTAATTGTTCACGCTGTACCTTCTGAGTTCCATAAATAGAATTTTACAAGTACGAACTTTGAACTTGTTGCAGCTGGAATTCACCCACAGATACGATGACCAAGTATGTTTCTGCGATCAGTGACTTGATAACAACAAGGGAACAGCTGACAAAGGTCTTTATCATCGACAATTCAACAACTAGTCATTTAATTTACAGCATGGTACGCATTACTAATTCTTTTTTTTTATTAATTTTGCAGTTGAAAGCTTTAATCGAAGAGCACAGCGATTTATTGAGATCTAATGGAATCTAACGTCGAATGGACTGATACTTATGAACCAGTTTTTTACGAATGGTTTAATAATTTCTATCGGGTGTAAGACGAAGTACTGTACTACCACTACAGCCGCTACGCCCTATGCAACGTCACCTCTATTTTCCTTGCCCCTTTCGCTATCCAACACTGACCAACGCCAACACTCCAGCTAGAAACAGGCCAAGGGTCACCATCATTGTAACCGATGCTGGACAATCACGCGTCACCTAGTAGCATAAAGCATCCAATTATGCATTTGTCCCTTCTCGATGGAAAAATTCCATGGACAAACTAACCGTCGAAGCAAGAAATCACTGATCAACCCTCTTACGGAACAGTCATCCTTTTCGTGACTTGAGCCGAGGATGGTAAAACTTTTAGTGGCTTTGTTTTAGAATCAACTCTGAATAAAACAGCACGTCATAAATGGACGCTTGCTTCGGCAGCATACTATAGAAACCGCTTTAGTATTCGATCCTTTAATAGATGAAACTAAAGTGATCTCATCAGCACGGAACATTTCAATAAATGATATTTCTATATCAAAATTTTCTTCGATGTTCCTAATCTTATCTTTATATATAGCTATCTCCTTTACTGCCGTATCGAGAAGCCCTCCTCGCAGGCATAATAGCTTCCTCTCGTTTCCTCTCAGCTTGCCCGTGCATTCGCTCCGAGAGAGCAATCGAGCAACGGCTGGGCAGAAAGCACTACGCGCCACAGCATCCATTATGGAACAAACTGAGCAACGATTCTACCGGAAAAATTGTAGACAGGCGAGACAAACGCGTTCTGCAACTTGAGTACGTACAGCATGAACTTTCAGGTCACCCTGCAGTCGTCCAAGAAGATTGCTTTCTTATATTCCAGTCGAGATTATGGTCCTTCTCTAGTTCGAAAGTCATCTAGATGGCAGCACTGCTGCTTCCGTAGAGTCGCGAAGTCGTAATGCAGTAGTAATATCGCGAAGTGTTGAACCGATATGGGAATATCGACGAGGCACTCGAAATACACGACACGACTGAACCCAAGTTAACTTAGGGAGTTAAGGGGGAACCGTAATTCGCAGGAAATTCAAGCTTGGTCGGATGAGCGAGAATGACGTGGCTGCTAAGGATTTCCGTATAGTCACTGGATCCCCTTAGCGAAGTTAATTGCTCGTGTCTAAACTTCGATACTTTCTCCGGATAGTCTTAAAACAGGGCGGTACTCTTATTCGGACTTATCCGGTGGATTAAGTCAGCTTTCTACCTAAGGAAATTTTCGATTACCCTTTCGCTTAACGTTCATCCCCACTTCAAGTTCTAATACCGGAGGAAGTTCCGAGTGGTATCTACGGAGCGTGGCATCCTTTTGAACGGCATTACTTGAAAGAGGGCTCGTGGCTCAGGTAGGCCGTGGAAGGGGTCAGGTCCTAAAATGGTTCGTTTTACAAAATAACGATAAAGGTCTAATAAGAGGGCACGCGCGCCATCGGTTGACGAAATTGATAACTATTGGATATGCACCGATCGAAACGGAACACCCGTTACTTATCTCGACAACGACTATCATTATGGACATTCTCCCGACAGATTGCCAGGTGCTTCTCGATGATTATTACCATACTGGATGGGACACACAATCGCCTCGGTAGCGCCAGAAACAAGTGTGCCAGACCAATGGTTCGCTAACTATCGACCCGGGAACGTGGATGGGATTTCGTTATCGGATCCTACTATTACCGCTGGCTCCATCTGGCCAAAAGTTTGCTGCTCTTAACGCACGATTATTCCCGACCCCGTCTCTCTGGGTCAAACTCGCTCCAAGAACCGATACTCCGAGCAAGAGCAGTCTTAGGATTGTAATACGTGAGAGCGTATACATACTACCAGTACGAGAGCAGTCATCAGTCAACTCGATGTGTCACCGTTAGATCTGACGAGAGGCTGTGCGCCTTTTAAGAGAAGCTCCACTCACCTGAAGATGAACTTGTCCATTGTTGTCGACCCATCCGATGACCATGTCCGCCCCGACTCGGTTATCATCCTTGGTAAATCCGAGTCCCACGTAGCCCAGGGTCTTAACTTGGACCTCGAACGTGACGTCCCTGTCCCCAGGGGTCCAGAGAACCAAGAAGTTGTTGTCGAGAACAGCGCTGTGCTTCCATTCGACGCACGCGACATTAGCGACGATGGTGATGAGGAGCACGATATGCGCAACGAGACCCGTCATCTTGACGAATTTCATTCAGAACATCTGTAACAGGTGCAAAAGAAAGATGGCGTCAGTCCTTGTCCAAGGTGTGACGTTTGGAAGATTGCGGTAAGAGCACGCTACTAAAGTAATCCCAATTCTCTTGGTATGCCAAGAGGTGTTTTGTGATACATAGGCTCCGGTGCAAGCTCAAGCGTTACTTCGAAGTTTGACCAAGTTCCAGGCCGGAGTATCATGCTTTAATTACGGTTGGCCTTACTTTCGAGAGAGAAGTTTGACTGAACGTACCTACGAGGGGCCACAAGGACGCGTCTGCTTCGGGACATGCTCATGCATTTAGTAGTTTACTATGCAAATTCATCCCTTCGGATACTTGTGTACTCGACGCAATGTCCAGGAGCGGCATCGCGTAGAGAATAAGGGACACGAGAACATGGAGAAAAGACTCGAAGCGTTATTATACGTGTACATTTGGATTCCGAGAGGAAGGTACAAAGAGAGATCAACAAGGAAGAATTCGGATTCACACTGTACACGTCTTTCTATCCTTGTTCTCTCAATTGTCACACAATTGTCTGCATACAGAAACACAACGTAAAAACGGAATGGAGTACCCGCGAGCAAAAGTCTGGGGGCCAGTAAACGACGACCAGAACTCGCGAAGAAGGTGAAACCTGGAAGGACGGTAGAGGCTTTACGCACTAGTCAAACAACCGCGATGGAAGCAATCGATTCAATTAACAGTAACAGCGGTGTAATGCGTAAGTGAGGTGATGCATTGGCGGACCCAGCTGTCACGTGGCAACTCGAGCCACTCAACCGCGCAGAGAAGCGTCAACTCAAATTGAGAGGACAGTCCAGTGGGTAGGGCGGGGTTGGGGGGTGAGCACGGACGGGTTTGATTTGCGGCATGTCGTTCAGTCGATTGCCCTCAAATTGCGCCCAGCACTCGTGGCTTCGACCTGGAATGTCCTATACGAATCGTCATTCGACCATGCGGATCGCCACCGGCCCCCAGTCCACCATCCGTACCATTCAAACACACTATAAGTTAAATAAATTCCGGCGAATGGCAAATGTCAAAAACAAAACCTCGCACGTCTGCCTGTGCGCGCTTACTCAATCACCCGACCCATCGAATCCAGTCCAGGGCAGTCCGGCTGCCCCGTGTAAATAGACGATGTCGGCTATTGCTGGCAAATCGTTAACATGGACCCAAAACCCGTTAGCATATTACGTGTACCCATTCCATGTTACGAACATGACACTCCTGCAGGAATAAAATATTCGTGCCACATCCGGGCGAGCTGTTTTCTCACGTCAGTAACGCGACCTCGTGCGCGAAAGAGACCGAGGACGGTCCCTGAAGTGACGGGACTAAGCAGACGCTCGGTTACTGAGGTTCACGTCAATTATGGGAGACGCTGGACCTAGTCTGACACTTCTCAGACAAACCGCAGGTTAACGAACTAATCAGTGCCACGGGTCCAAGCCAACTGACGCGTCGGTCAGCGTCACGCTAAATGTCATGGTGCCTCGTTATGCCTACGTACGCTGACTCCTGTATGTCTTCAGAAAAGTCTGGGACTGTACGGGCCCAATTAAAGCGGAGGAATTGTACGTTGCCACGTGTACGCTATATGTATAAGAGCGTGGACCACTTTTGGTATGACCTAAATTGCATTACATCCTTTGAAGAAGCGAGCAAGTGCTTCGCTGCATTTAGAGGCCGTGACACGTGGAGATAACGCGAGAGGTTGTCGCGGTAAGGGCAATGCTAATGGGTGAGGCTACGACGATAATTAAAGCAATTATTCATACGTTCTCTTGGAGAACGACTGTTAGGGATATACTCAGTGGATTGATAACGTTCGTTTTGCGAATCGAATGACTATTTCTGGTGCAGACAGTTTTCATTCTTTTTTCGTTTTTTTTTTTTTTTTTTAACGATTCCATTCGCTTCCTTCGCGGGGATAAATATACTGTTGAGATTTTTTTCTTTCTTTTCCTAAGCGGATTCAGGAAAAATTTTTTTTTGTTTTTTTTTTTTTTTTTTTGAACGATTCCATTCGCTTCCTTCGCGGGGATAAATATACTGTTGAGATTTTTTTCTTTCTTTTCCTAAGCGGATTCAGGAAAAATTTCTCAATTCGATGCGGCGTACATGCACGTGAGCCAATGTAAAATATTCCCGGGGTATGGGATTCGCTCGTGCGAACCGTAGGAATCCTGATTAGAAATGGTATCTACGATCCTGGCAATTTGCATTTCTACGAGGCAGACTATTTTCGCGGGTAGAACGGATGCCCCGAGGCGTAAGAATAGCCGGAGAAAAAGGTACGTGTACCTGGTATAACTGCACGCGAAGAACCCCAGGTGCGGAGACAGGGTTGCTACTAAAAATATTCAATTTACCACCCAGCATGGAACATTTGGCTACTCCATTACGGTTTACTTATGTTTTTCCAGAATTAGCTTGTAAAATAAGCTTTCGTGATGAAGCAAAGAGCTTCTGGCTTTTGTCAGCAAAAATATTATTTTGCTAACCGACAAAGTCGAATACTTTGGAAATGTTTCGTTCCCAGCGACGCAACTAGTTCTCGCTTTCATTCGTAATTAGGGCTTGGTATGACAATTCAGAACGTAATAAATTACATAACCTTCGGGAATAACCGTTTGATGAATGAATGGTTGGATCTAAAGAAAAAGTACCAAGAACGACGAGTATACATATATTCTATATGTATGCAACGTATATACGCAACTGTTCACAATCAGTAGGCGTATATTTACGGTGACCCAGTTCACGCAGTTTGCCATTTTAAAAATGGACCGCGAACAAGTTTCTTCCGTGAAATCACGAGGTTCACAATGCGGTATAAAGTATAAAGTTGGTTGGTCGGCAAGAGGTATAGAGAGAGAGAGAGAGAGAGAGCACGGAAGGGGACATTACTTGGAAATGGCAATGTAAGTATAACGTGGCACGCGGAGTACCGTGGAAAGGATAGAGGCACGGGGAGAACGGTGTTTTCCGAGAAAGACAAACTTTGAAAGTTAAAAACGAAGCGTCGTGGGAGACTAGCGAGAAAGAATGGCTTGAAAAAGGTCGAGGAAATCGCGAAGCTAGAAAGGAATGGAAATGAAGGAAGAATCGAGAGGCAAAATTTTCCAGGTGTAGAGTGAAGTAAAAAAGAAAAAACGTATAAAAAAGACCTAAAATTACTTAATACTAAGTACATCATAGTCAAGCCGGCACAAACAATCTGCCATTAATTATTCCCGTTCTCACGTCTTTCATCAACGTTATTACCTAACTGTTACGCCGACAGATGGCTGTACCGTGCATATAAGCGCATCCTTTTTCAAAGCACACTGAAACTGCATACACATTAGAGAGAGTATCGTGTAACATTCTATACTTAGGAGACGAAAACATTTCAGATGCCACGACTCGAGATATCGTCGGGAAGTTTGTTTTAATCCGTCCGCTTAATTACCGCGCGAAATGACGGAGCCAGCGATGGTGGCAATGCTAATTAGCGCGGCCGGTCGAAATTGCTGTACTCGTATTTCCCACGGCGTGTCGCGCGCGCGAACTCAGGATGGACGCGAGATGCAGCCAAGTGGTAAGGTAAAGTCCGTTTAGATTTAATTACATTTCTATGAAAACTCGTGCAAATGAGGGAGTAATATGGCAGGCGAGAGTTCGTTGCTGAGGAAGAACGTTGCCGAGTCTCGAGTGGACTGGGTATGAAGGCTGAGAATGCGTAATAGGTTATTTACCTGCCGCCTGCGGGATAATGTAACGCCGCTGGCCTCGTAGGTTATATTCCATGCCGCAAACTACAACCATTCGCAAGCCCTTTGAGACTTTATGAATTTTCTTCTCTCTATTTCAGCGCCGCTCTCTTGCCGAGCATTTCGCACACGAGACGCACTCGATATAAAAGGGTATTGCGTTATGACGTCCCGCGCGCCTCGTAGCGGACGAGAGCGGAACTACTGTTACAGTCTGGAAAATCATTTGCTGCGAAATTACGCGGGATCCTAGTCGTGATGCGATGATAGGAAGGATGACTCGCTGCGTTGCGAATAGTTTCGCGAATAATGACGAGATGCCTGAAATCACGAGGCGTATTCTTCCTGTGTTTTAGCGTAAATCGTGTTATTACCGCCTGAAGGTTTAGAAACTTGGAGAACTTTGAGAACCAATTAAAGTAATTGGATCGAGCAATCTCTCGCGAGATCGTTTACCTTCTCCGATTAAATTCATCAGGGTTCATGATCGTCACGATGACTTGACCGATGCGACCTCCGATGTATTATAAATGGATATAACAGAGTAGCGACGAGATCATGAAATTAAGAAGCAACCCGACGATTTACAGTAATTCCCATTATTACGTTTAACGCCTGGAAAGTTAGTGGGATCTGAATGAGAGAGGAATTGAAGTAATAAAGGCTGATAGTACGTGCATTAAAGCCTCGTTAAAGACAAATTCTTGGAATGAAGAAGTTTCGTATAAACGTTACTACGGCGAAGCAACGCCAGACGGCAGCATCGTCGCTACCTGACGGCACTAGCTGCACAAGTGGTCAAACCGGCGAATATAAATTTCTCGGGAACTATATTCGCCTGGAGCCTTCTCCTCTTCTTGCCAGAAACCCTTGTTATCCTTCTCTTCGTAGCGAGCTACAGATCAATAAATAACTGCTGGAAAAGTTATAAGGGCGGCGAATGGAGAAGAGGTGGATAGAGGCTAGTGGGGAGAAATCGCGCTATGTGAAGTTTCGTACCACAAACGAATCACACGTAATGAGGGATAAACCGCAGCCAGAACTGGTGCTGCCACCGGCGGTGCTGTTGTCAGTGATGCTGTCGATGTTGGTACTGCTGCTGGCATAGTTGGCGTTACTTTGGCATCTAACGTACGAAATCGGTATATATATCAGAGTAACGACGTTTGAGCTTTACCTCAAGATTTTTCTCGAAATACGAGCAACTAGTGAAGGTTGTTGGATTTTCAAGGTACTCGATGTGT